GTTTATTTTTTTTTTTTTTTTTTTTTTGTTTGTGTTTTTTTTTTTGTATGTGTGTATTTGTGTTTTTTTTTTTTTTATTTTTATATATTTATTTTTATATATTTATAATGTAAATAAAAATTAATTATATATATATATATATATATATATATATATATATATATATATATATATATATATATATATATATATATATATATATATATATATATATATATATATATATATATATATATATATATATATATATATATATATATATATATATATACATAGTTGAAGTCAGAATTATTCTAATAATTATTAGAATATTATTATTATAATTATATTCTATAGAATATTATAATTATTAAATTTATATTCTAATTCTAATAATATTGTCCTTAAAATGGCTTTTAAAAAATTAAAAAACTGCTTTCATTCATGCCAAAATAAAACAAATAAGACTTTCTCCAGAAGAAAAATTATTATCAGACAGACTGTGTAAATTGCCTTGCTCTGTTGAACATAATTTGGGAAATATTTAAAAAAAGAAAATAAGGGGGTTTAATAATTCAGATTTTATCTATATATATATATATATATATATATATATATATATATATATATATATATTACAGTTTGTGTAAAAAAAGAACTACAATGCTGAAATGTTTAGTGTGTAGTGTTTTCTGAAGTTTGTCATTTATTTTATTGTTTTTTTAGTAGAAAAAAAAAGATAAAAGTTTAATTAAAAATGTTCAATAGAAATATTTTTAAATACATCTACACTTGTTATAAAGTGATTAAAATAACTAAAGCTCAGGTGGAATTAAAGCTAAAACAAAAATAAATTTTTTAGCGTATTAAACTATTAACAAGTTGTTTTCTTGTTTTTGGTATTGGAAGTTGAACTAAAAAATATATACAAAATAATTAAAGTTAAACATTTATGTAAAATAAAATAAAAAACATTCTCGCTTTGATGAATAACTGAAAAATAAGGTTATTTGTAGGAGTGACAACAATAAAAAAAATAATTAAATAACTTTAATAATAATTTAAATAAAATTAAAAATAGTTTAAAAATAATTAAAGTTTTTATTTTATCATGTATTATTGAAAAGTCCTATTTTATATACATTACAATTGGTGTTTATTTGTTTGCCATTCTTGATTGAATTTATTATAATTGTGTTTAATTGAATTTAATTTAGTTAATTGTTGGGCATGTAAATTTTATACAGAAGTTCACTCTCAGAACCCGAGGCCAAAGTCACACACTAAGTGCTTAGTTTCGGTTTTATTATGTGTTTCTAGCTAAGAAAGATCAAGAGGCGTCAGAAGAGAAGAAAAGCGCTCAGAAGAAGAAAGTGAAAGAGCTGAAGGTGCTCGACTCCAAAACATCCCAGAATCTCTGTGAGTATCAGCCTGAGCATCAGCGCTCACATGAGAAATACTGCACTGCTCTGACACTGTGTGTGTGTGTGTGTGTGTGTGTGTGTGTGTGTGTGTGTGTGTGTGTGTGTGTGTGTGTGTGTGTGTGTGTGTGTGTGTGTGTGTGTGTGTGTGTGTGTGTTGCAGCTATATTCTTGGGTTCAAACCGGCTGCCTTATGAAGAGATGAAAACTGTCATCCTGGAGGTCAATGAGACGCTTCTCACTGAAAACATGGTGCAGGTATGAGTAAATAGAGTTTTGTTTATTGACTTATACTTTATAAGATTTGATCATGAATGAACTCATATATAATATTTGTATAAAGATATTGTCCAAGAACAACAGGGATTTTTGCCATTATCTGATTTTTTAGCAATTATTTACTTTACCCTATGCCAATTAATCTGCCAACCTGCGGTATGATGTCACCGTATTTTAGAGTTAGGTCACCCAAAATCACAAACTGCAATCACAAACTGAGGGGGTGGGGGGAGTCGGTGCAGCAACGACGCGAGGAAGCGATCACAAATTGAGGAGCGGGGAAGGGGGGCGGGGTGGAGTGACAACGCGGGGAAGCCTTCACAAACTGAGGAACGATCACAAACTGAAGGCTGATTTATACATTTATACTGTGATTGGTCGGCTTGGTAGCGCTGACGAGTCTGGGCGGGACCGAGAGCCGTGCGAATGGCGCTACGCCGCGCAAGCGATTGTTTACAAGTGTGGAGTCCCGTAAAGGAGCTCCGGATGGAACGTTTTGTTTTGTGTTTACCTCATAGTTAAAGTTGTTGCACGTCCGCCAGTTCCTGCCTCAAAATGAGCGAGTTTGAGCCACTTGTACATCCCGGAAGTGTTCAGGAAAAGCAAAAAAGTAGCGAAGAAACTCGACACAGAGGAACATTTACACCTCACTGCCAACTAGCGTTTCGGAAGTGTTAATGCAGACCGACAGAGACAGCGCGCAGAAGTATAAATGCACAGCCACGTGCGTTGCCTGCGCCGTGGGTTACGCCGGTCACCTGACGCTGAAGTATAAATCAGGCTTAAGGAGCATGAACGTGAAGCGATCACTAAGTAGCGATTACAAACTGACACTGAGCGGCGAGAGCGGCAAAGTAGCCGGAAGTCATTAATTTTCAGTGAGAACCGGCGGCGAGGAGCAGCGCGGCGCGTCTTCTCCAGTGTGAGCGTCGAGGAGAGTTAAAATCAAGTCAACTTTATGGTATGAGCTATGATGCGGTTCGGCGGAAAGCAATCAGAATGAAGTAGTCCACCGCTTGAGAGGAGTTCAGAGAACACAGACCTGTGAACTTTGGTTCCGACCACAGTTGTTCCCAAGAGTTTGATTATTGCGGTTGCGGGATTTTCAATTATTGAAAATCGCAACGACGCCCCCCACCACCACCACCCACCCCTGCGGACCCGTCCGCTACGCCACTGAGTAGGACACCAGTGGGTGTTCAGGCTGACCCACAGGATCAGTGCGATCACTCATCTGTCACTGGGGTCTTTCAGGAATCAGTCTCATGCTCTCCACTCCTCCGTGACTGCCACAGCATCTGCTCAGGATACGGCCTGATCCAAGATTATGGAGACCTCTAGAAATCCTCTAAGCTTGTATTTTTATTATTAAGAATTGTTTCACTGGACGTAGCGAGTTTGTTCTCTTGAAAACTTGAACGCTTCTGATTCCAAAGAAAACGATTATTGTTTAAAGGGCCATGAAGCCCCCTCGTTTCAGCAGGGTGTTTTCACACCTCTACTTTGGAAAAAGTCACAAAAGTGGGCGTGTCCAGCTCTGTTTAGGGGGGAGTGTCGGAGGAAGAAAAGAGGCATGGTGTGGGAGTGTCTATTTGGGCGCGCTGAATTTCAGAGTCAAAACACACAACCACACCGGACAATGTGACAGTGTTTACACGGACATGTGTAGTCGAATTATTTGCCAAATGATTAAATGGTGGACTTTAACTGCAGTTTGGCTCTTTCATTCAGGGAATTCATTCATGTCCCTCTCGACAAACGAGATATTTGATTCAAGGAGCTGCTCTAAGCGTGTATTTTTCATGCAATGTTTGATACCGCACGGCGAATGAGAGAAAAAAGCCTCAGCATTTCCCGGAAACTTAGATGCACACGGCAGGTAGCGTCAGAAAGCCGCGTGTGTTATTCTGGTCACAAAATCCAACACAAGCTTATAGTTTGGTTGTAACTGTTAGTGCTAACTTGTTTACACTGGTGCAATAGTTTGTTTGATACGAATGAAATACAACTGAATAAACAAAGAGCACTGGTCGCTCACTTACCAAATCTGTAGAGAAAGGACAATCACCAGCAACTAGAGCCGCGTCTTTATTTAGAGGAGACTACAAGCGAATCCGGATCTCAGCGTTTGCAGATGAGAACAGCTCTCAGGTAAACAATGTTCCTCCTGAGACACGTAAGTTATTGTTGTCGAGCGTCGCGTACACTGTTAATCCACACGTGACTCCAGCTGAGCTCTCACAGAGAGAAAATGAAAACAAAACTTAACAGCAGCAAACTATAAAAGCAACACTTCACGCTTGTTTTGCCAACGTGGCATCTCTGTCGTCTAAACACTCTGACAGTAATGAATATTAATGAAGTTGCACAATAGAGCGCGCTGATTGGTTTGAACCAAGCCTTACTCATGCATTAATGCAGCACACTGTAAGACGTAATAAGACACATTCTGGCACAGACGTCCAGTCTGCACGCTGGAATACACGCTATTATGTCATGACCGTGACGCAGCTTCAAAAATTTGTTTCAAACCGGAGGTATGAATTTGCTTGAAATAACGCAAAAACAACCAATTTACACTTTTTTGTGAAATATAAGTGTCCTAATAGTGTTTTTAGCAGTGTGGGACACATATACCACTGTCAACAGCTCAACACATGTGTTTTGGTGTTTCGTGACCCTTTAAAAATCACATGAAAATAAAATCGAAATTATGAAGAAGCAATGAAGAAAAATAAAGAATTAATCAAATAAAATATCATTATTTGTTGATAAAGTTTCAGGAGGCAAACCAATATGCACAAAAAAGTGCAAAAATGGGATCTTCTCTTAATTAGTTATCCAATAATAATAATAACAATGTGTGTGTGTGTTTCAGAGTTTGCTGAAGCTTCTGCCAGAGCAGGAGCAGCTGAACACATTATCAGAGATGAAAGATGAATACGAGGAGCTGGCCGAGTCGGAACAGTTCGGTGTTGTGGTGAGAAACGCAAAGTGTTGACTTTGAACACAATCATACAGACACAGCCAATCACACGTCTTTCTCTCTCTCCCTGTCTCTCAATTCCATTGAATTCAATGCTTTATTGGCATGACAAATATTACGTATGTATTTCCAAAGCATTTGTGATGTCGTCATTTTAACTGTGACTTGCACCAGTTTTGCACATTTGCACCAGACACTTTCTTCAATAACTCAACAACAACATGGAAAAAAAAAGTGCTCCTCACACTGGTTAGTGTGCTTGACAAACCACCCGTAGAAACAGCCTTCTCTCCTTAAAAAAACACACCCCTTCTTACTCCAGCACTTATTCTCTGAGTTGCTTTGTATGATCAGCTCTTGTTGTGTGTATCGCCTCTTCTTGTTGAATTGCTGAAAGCTCCACAATTGCAAGTCGATTTGGACAAAAGCCTCTGCTAAAAACATTAAACAGAATAGATCAAATCAAATGACATGGAAGCAGTGGTAAACAAACAGTGGTGTGTGTTTCTGCAGATCAGTTCAGTGAAGCGTCTGAAGCCGCGCCTGACTGCCATCCTCTTCAAGCTGCAGTTTGAGGAGCAGGTGAATAACGTCAAGCCGGATGTGGTGGCGGTGACGGCGGCCTGCGAGGAGCTGCGCAAGAGCGAGAGTTTCGCCAAACTGCTGGAGATCACACTGCTGCTGGGAAACTTCCTGAACGCCGGCTCACGCAACGCCAAAGCTTTCGGCTTCAGCGTCAGCTACCTGTGCAAGGTGATTCTCAGCATTCTGTTTGTTTGAAGCACACTCTTTAAAGGTCTCATGAAGTAAAACAAGGTCAGTCTGTTCGTTTTAAGGTTATCTATAAACTAATGTGCTCCAAAACAGTGACAAACATCACGTTTAGAAGATATAAACCTGATATAAACATGTAAAGCTTGCAGTTTGTCACTTCTGTCTAAATAGGTTGACATTTTTTTATACTTCAGTTTCTCATCAAATCTTCCGACCAATCAAATGTTCTCTAGCGTCTGACATGCCCCGCCCCCTTTTTTCTCATTAGCTTTTTTTATTTGATGCGTTTGAGCTTAACCACTTTCCCTGGCATAGCTGTGAGGAAAAACTAAACGCCATTGGCTGTTTGTTTTTGTTTTTTTTTTGAAGAGGAGGAGCTACTCTTTATTTTTGTTTGATTTGAGATTACATCAAACATCGAATAAATGAACATTTCAAAGCACTACACAGGACCTTAAAGTAAGCAATAATGTACATCCAGCTGGATTTTTGACTGTTTGATGCCATATTTTGATTGAATAATATTTAGGTTAGTGTATGCTCCATTCAGCCTTTTTTTCTTCTATCAGCTTGGCATTTAATTAATTTCAACTATTAATATATATTAATATTAATAATCAACTATTATGGCTTATAACAATGTTCTTCGTCTTCTAGGCTTGGGCGGTATCCAAATTTAGATACCGTCAAACCTCCTCCGTATTTTACCCCAGTATCCGGTATTACCGTGCATAATAAAAAATAATGACGTAAGACTCAGACAGCATCAACACACTGTTGGCTTGTTAGACCGCGCGCCCGCTTCCTTTCAAATTACACCAGAGTTAGCGACCGCTCCCGTGCTTTATTCGGAAATTCATTCCCGAAAAATCTGGCAGCGGGAAGCAGATCTCTAGTTCGTATTTACCACGTCTCCCTTCTCGTTCGGTCGAAACCGGAAATACTGCCAAACTGCAGGTCACTTGGTGTGCGACTCGCCATCTCTCCCCCTCTCTCTCTCTCTCTCTCTCTCTCTCTCTCTCTCTCTCTCTCTCTCTCTCCCTCTCTCTCTCTCTCTCTCTCTCTCTCTCTCTCTCTCTCCTCCACACTGTCCCGTGATGACAATCACGCATACGCATTTGTAGGCATTAAATAAATAACATTTCATATTTAATACTTGTCTCCAATATAAGTGCATTGTTTTTTTATGACAGTATAACCGTATTGAAACTGACACCGTTGCTATTTTTAGATCCCGTAGTATACCATATCACCTTATTACCGCCCAAGCCTAGTGTCTACTTTTACATTTTGTGGCAACTAGCCGTGTAATAAGCAGGATAAAGTACATCCAGCTGGTTATTTTCACAGATTATACAACAGTTCTTCACTTCATGACAGGCCGCCAATAAGCCTCTACATTATCTCCTATATAACACACCTTATCGAATATCCAATCAGAATCAAGTATTCCAGACAGCAGTGTAATAACAAGGCATATTTCAATATTGCTCGATATTGATGCTAATACATTTAGCAGGTATGAATAGATTTGTTGAATAATAGAGCAGCTCCCGAATCATCATGATGACAAATGTTGATGAAAGGAAATTTATTGCAAAACGGTACCAGCTAACCGTTTTCTCTAAACTACACGTGCTTTACTTTATTATGATTGATTCATTATTGAATGAAAGAACCTAATGTTTTGTTGGCTAGCTTTCACTAAGCGTGTGTGTGTATTTAGTTGAGAGACACTAAATCGGCGGATCAAAAGCAGACTCTCCTGCACTTCCTGGCGGAGACCTGTCAGGAGCAGTACCCTGAGGTCATGACCTTCCCAGAGGAGCTCATCCACGTGGAGAAAGCCAGCAAAGGTCAGTCTCGTTTCCCCTCTTTTAATATATTATTATGCAATAATAATATATTAAAGTAATAAATAAAAACATATAAACCCGGCCCCAGAAAAGCAGCCAAGAATGAATGAATGAATGAAAGGATCATGTGTCCAGTGATTCTAAAACTGCGACATTTAATCACAGAAATCAATAATATTTTTAAATGAAGTCATGTAGAAGTATT